ACACAGAGACAACCCCTCGACAATATGCGTTTTTGCATTGCATAGCTGCAAAAAACGCATAAAAAGGAATGTATATAACTTGAGGGACCAAAAAATTCCTATTCAGATTACTTTTCCCATTTACTCTCGCCATTAAATTTCCCTCTTCTCAGTTTTTCAATTACTAGAACGCTACTCATGCATTTTCTCAATTACCCCTCCAACAACACATAGAATAACAAATACATACAACAGAAAATTAAGGGCAAATACGCTTAGTGGCAGGACAACTTTGAAATCTCGACAAGCACTACGTCAGAACGAATCAATATCGATAACACTGGGCCGCCCTAGCCTCAGGAGAGCACTGAATGCTCTAAGCAGCATTCCAAATGCACATCAGAAATGAACGATGTATTTAGAGAAATAATTTATGAAATTGTAAGCGATGCATGTTAAAGAGCGCGCCAATCTTACTTCTTCAGCAGCAGTCCCAGGTTCAAGGTTGACAGCTATAAAATGCTGATTGTTTTTATTTCATTTGCAGAAATCTAGTGGACGTTCACAGCTTACTGTCAATTTGCTGACCGAACAACAACGAAATTAATCCTAGCAACTTGTCGCAAACAGCTATTCTCCTAGGCGCTTATTTCTATCAAAACTAGTTGAGCAACGGCAAGTACCTCCCAAAAGCAGCTAGTATGGCGACCTCACACAGTCCACAACAACGCAGTCATGTGTATATTACTTCTCGTACAAATTATATCAGAGCGCTAAAGAATCCCTGCAAACATTACAACCTGAATAAGCTTCATTCACGCAGCTGCACAATTAAAGCATCGAGCACTTTCTCCGACAACAACGCATCGATAAAACGCTTCTGGAACGAGCTCACTGTGTGCAACGCAGCTGCAGAGCTTGAGCTTTGGTCGGCGAAATCTACAATCTTCAGTGGGCCTTTTTCTTGCACAGTTCGAAACTCATCGAACGAAACAACTGGCACGACTGTCAATCGTTCCAGATGTTTTGCCACAAAATTATGCAAACGAGACATGCTTTCATCGGCCTCTGCCTGCAACAGATCGCAATAACAAACGCAGCGCATCTACTTCTGCAAGCGCACTTAAATTGCTGGCAGAAAGCCATAAAATATACAAAAAAGAATCCAACAAATTAAAAAAAAAAAATACGATGAAGTCTAACAACGACGGAAGAAAGAGTTACCGCCTTCTAATGCAAATAATAAAATGATTACTTTGCCAACTTTGGCTTCGTTTATGACTCTGTTCAAGTCAAAAAGCGAATCGTCATAGGAGAGTATTGCTTCTGACGGGCAAAGATGCCCCGGATCGATCAGTCCCGCTCGATTAAGAAATGCAATCTAAAAGCACGTAACATTAATAGATGGCTGAGTACTACGTATTCTTCTTCGAATGTTATGGCACCTCTTCTCCCGCAAATGAAAATTAAAAAACTTAAATCTAGATAGTGCTTCATCTTGTCTAAGGCAAAAATATTACTTTATGGTGATTGACTGCTCTATGGGAATATCGCAGTTCGACATTCTTTCCAATCTAGCAGTAGGATAGCCAGAAAAAGAAGGGATAGCAAGGTGTAAGCACCACAAGCAGCGCACGTATAAATTTTTATGATCAGTATTATCAGGATATTTCCTTGTGGGTAACTCTTTCGAATTTTAATAGTGACAGAGTGTGATGCTCGATACATCAACGGCATTTCGAAACGGCTAAAACCTCGCCAACTCCGCCTGTCCAGAGAAAAGTTGAGTTGTTTATCCCGAGTGGAGACGATGTGAATGTCAATTTCGCAAGCATACTGACTACTCAGTGGCGTAGCATTACTCAGCTCAATTGAATTCGTAATCAGCTGCATAGGTGGTGAAGCAAATTATGACACTGTAGCTGCTTTAAAGGTATTTCACATATAAAAGTATGTAGAATTTCGACAACTCCAGTATTCTCTCTCAACGACAGTGATTGACTTCCCATAAAAACGTCTGATTTCGAACAGTCTCTCCATGCAGCTAACAACTGCCTTACTGCTCCAACCCTAGCTGAATGAAATCTTCAGAAAGATCACACGCCTTTCCTCTTTCATGTCTCTGCACTTTGCCAGCAGTAATGCTACACTTTCTGATACTTAACATACGAAAGCCGGCAGCAGTCAAGCGTACATGCTGGACAGGCTGTACGGCTTTTCAACACAGCAGCGTTTCCATCTTATTCTTTTACTATTAAGCCAGCAAAATATCGCTGCTAAAGAAAATATACAGAAGTAGTTTGTGGCACCCTTCTCACGCCAAAGATTGGACAAAATTTCAAGAGTTTAAGGCATGTTAATAAGTTTTTAAAGTGAATCACTACTACCTCGCACAGCTTATGCTATACTCTAAACGCCATCTGTCTGCGTTTGGTGCAGTTCTGAACTTGGGTCTTTGAAGACAAAAGCAAATGAGCGTTCGTAAATTCACTGAATATAAGAAGCAGACAAGATCTAACACCAACATGGAAAAAAAATCTATAAAAATCACCAAGGTAGACGTAGCAGCTTCATGTACACGCGCTATCTGATCGTGATCGGCAAGTGATACCCATGTATTCACCGAAACGCTCAAATTATCAAGATCATTTGCGACACCGTTAACGGGGACACACTGAACGCAGTGCCACCATTCCGGCGGCACGAATATTACATCGCCTTTGTTCAATGTGACCATCCGGATCTTCTTAGTTCGCAACGCGTTCTCCGCACCAATCACATCAAAATTGCTGAAATAACACGTAAAAAAGTAAATTCACCGGGAATTTTTGTAAAATGGAAGCAAAACTGGACAGCACACTCTAGCAGCACTCCTGGCAACAAGTACTGAGCAATAAACGCATATCTCCGTCTGCACATACAAAGAAACCAAAGCTTCTTCAGATTCAAGAATTACGGGCTTTGTCTGTCACGCTTTATTTTCATCGCCACATCATTCCTTATATCTTGTAAATAGCTTCAGTAACTTGCTCGATTTACTGCTTCTACTATTTCTAGAATAGTTTTTCATTAAAAACTCATATCAAATAGTGCTGCAATTTATTATGCGTTCTGTGCTGTGCAACAACCACACAAGACGCATACTGTCACGGGGTTGTCTGGATGTGTGTATTTGTGTGTCAGATGCATCTTGTCCGCAGCTTTCAACTCGGGAACCACAAAAGCTAGGAAACTGAAAATTTGCGGTAATGTTCCTCACCCACATGTGACCTAGCAGATTTAAATTCAGTCTCCCGTAACCGCGGGCAACATGTGTGATGAACAAACAAGGTAAAGCTTCTTACAAACGCTTACCACGAATTACAATTGAGTTGACTGAAGCTTTATTGAACGGACTGCCCAGTAGTGCTGGTACCGACTAAGCACGAAGCCTGGGCCAAGCAAGAATCCAAAGCCGTGTAGGAATACGAAGCCAAGCGGGAATGCAAGGCGTTGTCGATGTTGGTAAGAGTGGTCAGGAAATCGTGGTTGCTGTCGATAAGAGTAACCCTGTAAGTCGAAAACCTGTCGATGTTGATGAGAGTGGCGAGGAAGTCGAAGTCGCTGTCGACGGGTGGCGAGGAAGTCGAAGTCGTGCTTGCTGTCGATAAAATAAGAGTGAGAGATCTGATTGAGGATTTCAGTTGTTCTCATACGGTTTTTTCGGGAAGGGGCTTGGCCCGTCCCCGGGCATAATTTTTGGATTTCATCCAAACCACCTTGTATGGGAGAGGGAGATGTTCACGTGCAGCGCAGCTGCGCTGGTTTATTTGTTTGTTTTAACAAGCAACACGCTTGTTTACATTTTCGTACTGTTATCGTTATGTCAAATGCAGATAATGATTTGTTACCTGCATTTGAATTTTTTACAGTAATATAGTATTTGAATCTTTTTTTCTTGCAATTTTTTGGTTTTGAAGAGGCTGACCACTTCACAATGTGAATAGGTACTTACACGTGAAAAAAAAAACAAAGTCAGAAGCTGAGTTTTACACTGTTTCTTCCGGTTTTGAAAAGAGCTAAAATGAAAACCTAAAAATTGTAGATTCCTCGTAAGGCATGCGCGTGGGTCTCATATCTTCGCCAGGTTCAAACAATATCCAGCGTTTAGAACCAGAAAGTTGTGCATGAACATTGTATCCATATGAGTCATAATGACACTGTGTATAAGCTCCAGGAGTGCCTAAAAAAGCAAAAGGAATATGTGTTGCGAACACTGAACCGGACTAAAATACTAAATTTTCAGCCGAACGACAATCCCTCTCCTTAAACATAAATTGTTCTGATAGATTAAAGCTGCCCTGCCGAAAAAAAACCCAGGCTA